GCTCAGGTATCCCACCCTCCTAACTGTTTCTAGTGTATGGTCCATGTTATAGATGTCAGAAGGGAAGCCACATCACCAAGTTTGTTATTAGTGACCTTATTGTAATGTAACTTTAAGACAGATATTGGATGGTGTCATTTAAATGCAGACTATAGAGAAACCAAACCAAGGGTCAGATAAAGTCAAACTCAAAACTAGCCTTTGAAAACTAAGGAACTGAGTCATCCAGGAGGGGAAAGCGGGTGAGAACAAAGTTGGGCGGGAGCATACTGGATATGGGGGTGCACTGTAGCTGTGCTATGGAACACCTGAAGGGGCTTCTGTTGCTGAAGTCTAAACTTCCAAAATACAAACAAGGATATAAACCAACATTATCTAGTAAAATATTTAAAATAAATTGTGGATCTGAGGGGCTGTCTTTACTTTTCCTTGTGAAATAGAATAGCAGTGTATCGCTTGTGATAACTCTTTTCCTCTGTGTGAAGTCTTTTGAACTTAGAGTGCCCGCTATTCTGACTCCTGGATAAAGTAGATGTTATTGTGTTTATCTATAGTGTCTGTGGTTTAGGGAGTCAATCAGCCAAACTTGGGCTGGCATTCCAGCTCTACCATTTAAATCGGTATGCCCTTGGAAAAATTAATTTACTTCTCTGAGCTTCAATTTCCTCAGCTTAAACAAGGAAATCATTGATCCCACCTTGCTGAGTTGTCTTGAGGATTAAGTAAAATATGTATTTAAGTGCCTTGGACATCATTAAGTCTTCACTAAAGTTTCCACCTTCAAAATACATAGATGTTCCTAGATGAAGCAAGCCCTCCAAATATGTATGTCTTTACAACTCTGATAAGAGTGAAAATGGGAGACAATCTAAATACATGCTCAGATAATTGACATCTCTTTATCTTAAAGAATAGCTCCCATCAAGATTGGGGCTATAAAACATGATGTGAAGTACAGGCTGCTATCTATACTGCAGTTAAAACTATGTCTGACTTTAACAGGTCCTTAGAATTTTTCCAACTTTAGAAAGGAAAAAGAAAAAAAGATGAATTAGTAAAAGCTCTGGGCTAGAAACCAGCCTCCTTGTTTTCAAAGACATGCTTTGCCAGCACACAATATTTGGTTTCAGGGTCAACATTATTCAGATTCATCAGCATGCCTGACTCAATGCCTCCATTTAGAGCAGGCTTCTGTTTCTTCTTCTCAGAAGTATCTGGAACACAGTCGAGTGACCATTTGTTTCTCAGAGGGAGTCACTTTGCCTCACCAGCCCCACAGGAGAGTCCCTCTTGTTTACTTACCAGTTTTCAGAGTCACTGCTGATGCTGACTTGCTAGACCCAGCATCATTACAAGCTAAAACTGAAATCTGGTACTCGGTTCCACACAGCAGAGAAGAGATGGTACAAGAACTGGAAGTCGTACTGCAGCTCAGCTCTGAGGAGTCGCTCTCGGCCACCACGGTATAATTGAAAGCACCTTCTGTTGGTGCCCACGAAACAGATGCCTTCAGAGCTCCACTATCAAAAGAGACTTGAATGTTGGCAGGAGCCAGAGGACCTATATTTTTGAGAAACAATTCAGTGTTATGGTAGTCTCAGCCCCAGGTAAGACTGAGCTGATGAAGTGGCAGAGTTTAAAGGTTGAGTCACCTCAGTGGTAGGATAATTGTAAGTGTTCAGATCATAAAACTGGGATTCAGGGATCCTGGGAATGATGCAAATTTAAAATTAGCTATTTGATTTTGGTCATCTTATTTAATCTTTTTTTTGTTTTAAGTTTTTTTCTCATCTGTACAATGGATCTAATAAGTCCACCAATCAGTCTCTAGCACACACATAATGCTCGTTCAGCATATTTTGAATGAATCAATGAATATATCCATAATTCGACAAGTGGTTGAAATAATAAAATTTTAAGTATGAAGTACTAAAAAGGAGGTGTGGATATGTTACTATTGTGTGAGCAAATAGTTCTATTATTGATAGATGAAATTAAACAGTTTAGTTTTAAAAGTAGCTCTTTATTACTTTTGACACCTGCTAAGCCTTTTTCTGCAATAGCTTTCAGGTTCTAATTGTTCTTAGAAGTGTTACAGGGTAGCCCAGAGTGGACTTGGGCTGCCTGTCTGTGGGACCTCATCTGCACGCTCAAAATGTAATTTTCTGCAGGCACACACAGAAAGGGAAATGGGTTTATTTACAAAAAGGGGAAAGGAAAAGGAAACAACCCAGGGAAAAAGGGAGGGATACATAGTAGCTGGACTACTTTACCAGCGTGGCTAACTTGGAGCTCTAGTCCCAAACTAATGCTCCTAGCCCCAGTCCGACAGTCTGAGAGCAGTTGCTCCAGAGAGAGAGAACCGTTACCTCTCCCGAGTGTCAGCTGGAAAACCGCTCTCTATTTATCCCCCAGTGTCCCAGAATGCCTGCTTAGCTCCGCCCTTGGGTCCTCACAGTTCTCTGGTGCTCCTGGGAGTTGTAGTTTTCCAATCACTGGAGTAGGGGGTGGAATCCAGAAAGTTGGAATAGGGGTGGAGTCCACCAAACTCTGCAGAGTTCTTTTAGGACATCCTTCCCCTTAACAGAAGTGCACACTTTCCATTCTAAATCAAAGGGAAGGAAGAAACATACTGAATGTGACGATTCCATGATAAGTGTTTCCAAGACAATTCCCTCTATATCCTTAGAAATAGGCCTGCCTTTCTTCAGTGCTATCTTCTTGAAAAGGCTGGAATAGCTGTTCTCTAGAGTGTTAACAGAAGTTGCCCAAGGTAACTCTGATGTCACAAGGCCCACCTAGCAAACCCTAGAGACCTGCTTGGTCAGCCTCTGAGTAGAGTCCAGCACCCTGTGGACAGCCATGGGAATAAACAGGAAAAGCCCAACTCACTCTCTACAGGGCAGGTACCTGACATGTTCTGAAACAGGGCTGGGCAAGGCTATAAAACGGCAATAAGGCAGGAGGCCAGGTGGAAGGATGGGATGGCCACCCACCTGCCTATGCTCTTGAGACCAGAAAGCCACCAAAAAAGCCCCAAAAAGCCCAAAACCAAAATCAAGGGCTACAGCAGTACAACACCCACAACAGGGGCCTATATATAGCTACAGCCTAACAGAGGACAGCACCCGATAAGAGGACGGATCACAGTCTGTGGATTCTCATCCTTGCACCTCAGGCTCCAGGAACAACCTCCATGGGTGTATTTTACTGGGAAAACAAAGAGCTCACTGTATCCACAAGTGGCCATCTACCTCCCCAGAGAGCATCAGTGATGGTCACCACCAGTCACCCGGCAAGCTGGACAGCACTGGCCAGTGCATGGCCACTACTGGTCCCTCAGAGGCAGTGTCAGAGATACCCAGTGTTAACAGCTCTCTAAGACATGAAGCCCAGGCCTTTGGTGATCATCTCAAACAACATCAGAGATAGGACCAGAGGCCCAGTCGGTTACAAAGCCCATTGGGTTCTCTTCTCCCCTTGGGGGTCAGCTGCTGAATGCTTCTTTTTCTCTTTCTTCGGAGGCCAGGAACAGAGTCTTCCCCTTCTTTCTTCTTCCTTGGAGACTGGAGTCCGCAGCTCTCTCCTTCAGGGGCTGGCTTCTCTCTTCTCTTCTCGGGGCTGACATCATCTTTCCAGAGCATCTGCTGACCCTGGCTTATATATGTGGCTGCCCCACCCACAAATATTATTGGACCACTTAGTGCCAATCAGCTCATAGCTCGCACCTGATTGGTCTGTTTCAAAACAGCAGTTACTGAGCTCTGAGGAGCAACTGCCATAACTGACATGTGGTAGAGCAGCAGGACATCATTGCTCCTGAGGCTCCCACCGCTGAGATGGCTGCTAACAATTCTTCCTGGGGTGGTTTCCCCAGGTTGGTTTATCTGCAGAGACAGCTCTGCTCTGGGTTGCACTGGGCCCAAGCTGGAAGAGGTGACCTGCTGTGTGTTAGGACAACCTGCTTATCCCATTGGGCCACAGGAACACCAGAAAAAATGAGTAGAGCAATGGGAGGCAGCTATGGGTTGAATTCAAGCTTCATGAATTCAGGATCTGTCACCCCAAATGCCTCAGAATGTGGCCTTACTTGGAAATAAGTTCAGAGCAGACGTAGTTAACGTGAGGTCATTAGAGGGTGAGCCCTAATTCAATATGGCTAATATCCTTACAAAAGAAACTATTTGGAAGTAGACATACATGTACAGCAGGAGGCATGGGAAGATGAAGCCCAGGAAAAGGTCCTGGAGCACATCAACCCTTTCTCATAGGCATCAGAAGTCTGTGCCCACACCTCGGTCTCAGGCTTCTATCCTCCAGAACTGAGATGATAATACCCTGTTGTTGAAGCCCCCCGGTTTGCCGTGCTGGTAGAGTGGTTCTGGCAAATTAAGATAGAGGCTAAATTGAAACCCTAAAGCTTTTCAAAACATGAGGAAACTAGTGAGGAGGGAAGTGTTCAAAAACCAGTCACCTCCAGGAAGCTTATATCCTCTTTCAGGCTGCCCCACCCACAAATATGATTGGACCACTTAATGCCAATCAGCTCACAGCACAGCTCGCAACTGATTGGTTCATTTCAAAACAGCAGTTACTGAGCTCTGAGAAGTTGTCTCCCAGCTCCCCACCCAGCCTGAGGTAGAACTGGGCATCTCCAGGCTGGGCATCCTTGGATCAAAACACCAGTCACATAGCTCTGCAACCTTTGGCTGACACACCTGTCTCTTCTGAGATACAGCCCATTCTTTGAGTATGCATCATGCTCTATTTGACTTTGCAACTCCTTTAGCTAATATATGTAAACCATGGTGGGCTCTCCATAAATATTTGTGGGAAAATGAATGAATGGATGAAGAGGTCCAGGAAGATTGGTTCATGGACAACCTGCCTCATCAGGCCCATCATAAATCACCTTGATATGATTTCTCCCTAGAGCAGTATTAAAAAAAGGACATGTTGGGCCTCCCTTGGTGGCAAGACGAGTTAAAACACAGTACTACGAAGCTAGCCACAGCATGAGTTCGATCCTCAGCCAGGCAGGTGACCCACATGGCACAGCAGACCTCTTCTGACCCACCTGCTGCTCCCCTCAGCAGTGTATTTCAGTCAATCTGCCTGTTCTGCTTCCCACTCTGTCTCGGGTGAATCCTCTTATCACCCCAGTACCTTTATCCTGAACTCATTTTGTATGCATAAAAAAAAAAAAAAAGGACACCTTTTTCTTCTACATTTCTCCCCTAGTCCATAATGCCCTTCCAAACTTAGGGGATGTTGGAGAGGTCATTTCTGGTTTCTTTCCATGCTTTCCTCGGTCCTCCCCCAGGGATACACAGCTAGTCTGGCTGATGAGAGTCTGCCATCTGATATTGACTGCGGCTGGCTGGCTGCTTCAATCGAAGCAAAACATCTCTCTTTATCTCCTTCTTTTGGCTCACTCCAGCAGCTCAGTTGGAGGTTCTGGGGATCATGCAGAAGGACTGCAATGGCATGGTGAGAGGACACATACATGCTCCAGTTTTTCAGCCTAATTCTGGAGGAGAGATAGTGAAAAGCCCCACGATAGCCTCAGGCTAAGTGAAAGCCTTTAAAACATATCTAAAAGACCAATTTGCATCCAGCATAAAGTTCCATAGGAACAGGGACTTGGTTTTATTTGCTATTTTATCTCTAGAAAACAGCTGGCCAGAGTGTATGCACTGATTAAATGTCTGCCGAAGAAATGAATTCCTGCTTGACCCAATTCTTTTTTTTCTAAACTGAAAGAAATAAGGGGCAAGCGGTATGTCTAACGAGACCCACCTCCTGCTGCGTGATTTTGAAGGTGTAGGGTGAAATTAAGTGGCTATCAGAGGGGGAGGTGCCATGTCTGTACATTTTCAGCAGCACTTTCTTTACACATGCAGTAAACATTTAAACCACCAAGGAGGAAAAGTCAGGCACTATAAATAAACTCATAAAAGTGTAAGTAGCTGCTGTCAGCTGCTCTGCACTAATCACTTAACACCACTCTTGACAACTACAATACACAGCCCCTCTCATTAAGCAAAAGTGGGATTGTTTGGGGCTGAGCTGAGAAATCCTTACTTGTTCTCTGATTGCAGGTGTAGTCATCCCCAGGAGTTCCATTGGCATTCCACGCATAGGCCTTTATGGTGTAGAGAGTCCCAGCATCTAAACTGGTGAATGTCAAGGAAGTGTTGGTGGTATTCTCTTTCCATATTCTACCCAAACCATTGGCTCGCATAATGGACACAGAGAATCCGATTGCCATATTTACAGCTTCCCATTGCACAAAAATAGAGTCGGGGCTTGGAGAACTGACTTCTAGAATCGGTGCAGCCAACACTGTAAAGACAAAAGCCACGTGCATCTGCCTTATGAAAGTCCAATTGAGGACAATTCAAATTTAGGAATAAGTAATTTGAAGTTGATTATCTATATTAGGAAATAATTATTTGCTTTGCAAAAGGATACACAGCAGAGTTCCATCACACAATTGCTTTCTAAATATGTATTAATCATAAATGACTCAACAGAGCAATGGGAACAGAAAATTCTAATTTTAGATAATACTTTCAAATGGAGGTTGGCAAAAGATTATCTAAAACATCCCTGTAATCATAGTATAAATCAGTGAATGAAATGATGGTTTTTACTAATTTAATGTGCATACAACCTTTCAGAAATATGCTCTATGTACAACTAAATTAACTCAACTAAGTAATACTGATGGCAAATTCCAGCTCAATTGCAGCAAAACTCCTTCTACATGCTTTTTATTTAGCATGTTCTTTATGGATCACTGAAGACAAAAATGGAAAACTCTTTTTCAGAGACTTAAAAGTAGAGATGCAAAAAAAAAAAAAAAAAAAGTAGAGATGCTTTGAAAGATGCCCAGAAATGGGTTTTATTATCTCAAACAAAGCATCTGGAATTTAAATACCACCTTTCTCCACAGATGTCTGAATTCCAAGAAAACATCACTTGGCCCTGAATCACAAACCTGCATGTGACACCACGTCAGATCATGCACTGACAGTGGCTGATCCACAGCAATCACTCCACAGAGGATGACAACCCAGCTACCTGTTTTTGCCTGCTTTGGAGCTGATGCCTGGCTTCTCCCGGTGGCACTTATGGATCTGACAGTGATTTGGTACAAGGTTGCAGCCTTCAGACCCATCACAGTCCCTGGAGAACTGGCCACAATGGTTTCGATGACAGCGTCACCATCTTCAGCCGTAAGGAGGTAACTGGTGGCCCCTGGCACCATAGCCCATTCCACAGTGATGCTGTTGCTGATTTTTGAATATGCCTGATCAATAGTGGGTATTTCGGGAGCTGAAAAGATTTTGAAGTTGTATATTAACTGGGATTCCTATAAGGATGATTTCTTTCATCATTTGACTTTTCACACTAAATCACCTTGTGCTGTCCTTCACACATAATCTTTGCTTACTTTCCAAAATCAAGAAAGAAAAAAAATGACGAAGCTAGTTTCCAAAAGGGAGCTGGAAAGCTCAAAACTTTCTTTGGAGATGGGATTTCAAAGAGGTTTTTCCTACTTTCCTCTGGGAAAATTTGCACTTTTTATACTTTTAATAAGAGTTAAAGAAGAGTAGGACATGATTGCGGAAAAGAATCCTGAGAAGAGGGAGAGAATTGAGGGGCTGCAATCCAGGGATTCTAGTCCGAGTTTTGTGATTTTCACAGTCTGCTTTATCCTGATCCCCCCTCCCGTCACGAGGATCCCCCACTGCCCCCTGTTCTGGCCACCTCCACAGTGGCTGAGGTCTCGGTAGGTGCCTGCTCTTTGCACTTTTTTCAAATGGCATGTACTCCAATGGAGGAGGAGAAGAATTGAGAATTGAGTTCTTTGTTCTATAATTACTTCATTGCATTTCCTTTCATATTATCAGGGTAAAACCTTTTCCAGAGTCTCCTAAATAAAGGAGGTTTTATCCACACTTTCTCTATCAAAACATCAGTCGCGGAGTAAAAATGAGGCGCTCTGATCCTTCCTCATGTAGGCCTGGCCATGGTCTGCCAAGGGGAGATGAAGGCTTATACCATGAGTGAACACAAGGCATGGGAGTCCACTGGATATGTAGTAGGAGAGCCAGCGTGGTAATCAGATTCACCACTTTGCAAAAATCCACACACAAAAATGGCCGGGTGTAGGAGAGCCAAATGGAAGCAAAGGTCAAACAAAAATAGCTGGATTTCAGGTTTGAAATTGGCAGTTAGCCTTCACATTTAATGTACTGCATTTGCTGGGTAAAATCATTATCTGCCGAATTCTAAAAGGGCAAAGCAAAACCATGGGGCAAGAGGAGAATGAGAAAAACACAAGCTAACTGCGTGGCTTTCCAGGATAAAGTCCACCCAACTGCCTCCCCCCGGCACGTCCCTGATATAGACAGCCTTTTCTCTCTGCACCGAGAGCTCAGAGAGCTGGCTTCAGCAGCATCTCAGAAATATCGATGCAGCAAAAATGAACAAAATCTCCACTGTGCACTGGCCAGACATTCCTTGAACATCACCCAGGACAGTCTCTTTTGCCATCAAAAGAAGATTCTGATGGTTTTACATGCTGGGGGAAGTTGCAGACCTGCTCGTCTTGCCGTGGAAGCTGATTCTGCAAAAAGGGCGAAGTCTTGCTCCCTGCTGCAGGATGGGAAGCCCCCAAAAGGCTCCCATTTTCATCCTGCCTACACATCACTTTTCTGCTCCCCCAATTATGTGTCCTTTGTTCTAGGTTTTCTTTCGTCTGTCTTTATAGCATCTCTCAACTCCTATTTCTTTCCCTGCGCTGTTTATCTCTAATGTTAGCGGGGCCTGCTCATTGGAATGGGCTCATTTCCTGGAAGAATGACAACCAGCCAATCATGGACTTATGAGGCCTGCTAGTGTGCGCATGGAGTGGTCTAAAAGGCATCTATACAGCTAGCATGGCACAGGTTCTCTCCCCAGAGACTTCGGCCTCCAAAAGGCCTAAGGCCTCCACAAAACGTGCCCCCTTGAATTGAAAGGGAAAGGTATATTTGCTCCAAAGGAGTAATAATAATACATGGGACAAATATCAGCAGGGTGAAACAGGGCTGCCCGTGGGAAAACAGCCAAGGGTTTATTTGGATTTAAGATTTCTGGGTTCAAGCAGTGGCTTCTGTGCAGGAATATACAACTCCTTTATCTCCTTCTAGGCTCAGTTTTTTCCCTTGGGAATGTGGAATATTAATAAATTATCTACATTTTAGGATTATCTACATTTACTTTGAAATGTAAAGTTCATACATCTCACGATTGTTGTAAATATAAAGTGAAATTGTGGACATTAGGGCACTTTGAAAGTTATGCAGGATGCATAAATTTTAGATCTGGACAGCCAAATTTTAGATCTGGAAAAGCCAGGTATGGCCATGGAGAGGTGCCAGAGAAGGTGACATTCTGGGGGAACTGGAGCAAGCACAGGCCGCAGAGACAGATTCCCTGGTTCACATTTGGTTCTGGGGAAGAATATGACCTGTAACGACAATGAAAGGGAGCCATAACTCTGAACTATGTTCCCCTTAAAGAGATGAGACATTTGAGTGGGATGTGTACAGCATCATGAATTTACAGCTGTGCTGTACCCTTCCTCAGCTCTGTTAGGCCCACTTACTGTACTGATGAAAGAGAAAGTTTTATTCCCTAGATGTACAATCAACTGCTCCAATCAGCCCAAAGTGGGACCCTTTGATGCTTAGCATCTGTGCATTCTACCAACTCCAAGATCTAAAGTAGCCCCCACAGCGCCAGAGGCCAGAACAGCTGAGTCCAAAGGGAATCAAAACACACAGCCACAAAATGAAGCCTCTTATACAGTGCTAGTTAAACACACCCCACCCATCAAACAGCCAGAACAAATCAATTAGCAGCGTCACCAGCATTTCAGTCTGCTCCCCTCAAGCAGCATGGATGCCACGGGACTGAGAAGGGCCTGTTCTGAGGGCTCAGTGTGTCCTGTGTGTGCCAAAACATTCAAAGGACAGCAGAGCTGGATTTTATCTATCTACAGGATGCTTGTTAGAAAAATCAGTCCTCTTCATTGCTTCCTGGTCAGTGTTAAAGTTTTCCTAAGAATAAATGAAAAGGAATAAAGCAGGAAAGAACCACCTAAAAACCCTATTGTATAGGTGTAGATTTTATGGCTGAGTCACAAGCCCGCTGTTGCCTCCTCCTTATCTACAGCCCCCCCCCACCAGGGGATGCCCACAAACAGGAAGTATAAACCCTGTTTACAGTCTTTCTGTTTATACTTCCCCCCCCATACATAACTATGATAGTTTCACTTTTGAATTAGGCACAATAAGAGATTAACAACAATAACTAATAGAACAATCAGAACAATATTCTGGAATAAAAGTTAAATGAATTGGTCTCTCTCAAAATATTGTATGTAAAAATTTCTGACCATATTTAATCTAAACAAGCTGCAGAAAGCAAAACTGTGGATAAGGAAGGACTTACTACATCCAATTTTAAAATTACCTTACTTAGTCTCTCTTTTCTGTAGTACAGTTATCATTGTTCTCATTTTAAGGATGCAATATTAGAACCATAAAATCATTGTATTAGAGAGTCTTGAAAAAAAATCACTTGTTCTCCTGTCGAATTCCCCAAAAGACAAATAAAACAAGTTATATAAATTATAGTTTCCTTGTATTCGATTAAAATCTGTTTCTTCGGCTCAAATGAAGATCATTGTATTTTACTCATGGCTAAATGTGCATGAGGAAAGTCATGGCTGTGAGAGTGTACACTCAGTACTCAATGTCTTGCAAGGACTTATCTTTTGAGCTTGATTCAAGTAGTTGTCTTACTAGTCACACTCAGAAAATGTTGAAGAATTTTCCTGGTATAGCCTTTATAATGTATTTTAAAAAAACAAAAAAGGGAAATTAAAAATAAATAATGAAGGCCCTCCCTGGTGGCACAACGGGTTAAAGCACAGCACTGTGAGCCTGTCCACAGCCTCTGCAGCACAGTTCGATCCCCAACCTGGGAGGTGACCCACCTGGTGTGGCAGACCTCTCCTAACCTGCCCACCACTCCTCTTAGCAGTGTGTTTCATTCAGTTCGCTTGTTCTGCTCCCCACTCTGACTCTGGTGAACCCTCTCACCCTTGCACATCTGGCCTGTGCCCCAATTCTTGTATAAATAAACAAATTTTTAAAAACAAATAAATAAAAATAATGAGGAGTTATATTTCAGATAATCTTACCTGCTTTTTCTGAAGTAACCTGGAAAATAAAGTTCAGAAAATGAGAACCGTATAAAGAAAAACCCCATTTGGGGAAATGTAAAACAAGAATCAGAACAGTAATAAGTTTATCACAACACAGCATAAGCAATCTTTGCATCCATCTGAAGTGTTTGCACAGACCATCTTCTAGTAGTCAGCTCTACCACAAAGCAACCCTGAGTAGAATTTAGAGACTGGAGGCAGATCCTATTACTATTTCATTTTCCTCCCTGAATCTGCCCATTGAACCAAGTCAGCAACTGCTGACAGATTTTTCAGAAATCTTTGTTCCTAAAACATAATGATAATCTTGTTTTCTCCTCCACTAAATCACATTAGATTTCAAACACAAAAACATCTTGGTATATCCCAAAAGCCTTGGGATGTCTATCTCTCTAGCCCTTTGAACCTCAAAAAAAACGAGAAAGATGAAGAATGAGATATTTTTTATCCCCACTAAATAGTTGCGGGTAAGTCGAAGTGGTGAACTCACCATTTTAAGACAGAAAAGGCTGAATCCAATCAAAGACAGACATTTTCCCGCTGCACCAGCCATCCTGTTAGATAAAGTGCTCACATGGCACAGAACACGGTGTCCAAGGTCCTCTTTGGTCCCAGGTGGTAGCAGCTTTGTTCAATGGGACACAGGTTGTGATGCTGGGACAGACCTCGGAAAATGGCTCCTCCCCTTTGCTGCAGAGCTGACCTGTAACTAGGGGGCACTTGGAGACCGGCAGGGACAGGTATTGCAAAGACTGGGAAAAAAAAAAAAAAAGAATTGAAGAAAGCTATGCCCAGTGGGCCAAAAAGTTCCTGTGACCAGGGTTTCCAGGTTGTAGGTAGAATACCTTTTTTTTTTTTTGAAGAAAAAGTCTTTTCTAAATAAAATGCTTACAATGCTATATAGAAAATTTTGACCCAGTGATCATTTTAAACTTGGGAATCCTAACCAAGTTATTTATTCTATTTCATCTTTATTTGGTGTTCTTATTGTTGCTCCAGTACAAAATGATCACTGGTTGTCAGGAGCAATTTGCTGCAAACATCAGTATCTTAAGATGAGGAGTGGAAGAGGGGAAGAATTAGGGAGATGTTGAAAGGTACAAACATAGTGATTATAGTCAGCAATGTTGTATTACAAACTTTCAAGTTGCCAAAAGGCTAAATATTGTCAACATGCAAAAGAAAAAATACGTCATGACTTTTCTGACAACCTGAGAACCGGGAAGAGAAGCTCCTTTTTTCTACAGCATTACCTCTGGCATCCTTTATGAACATTATGCCAGCAAATGAGTGAAGTTCAAAAGGCTCAAGTCCAGGATCACAAAGCAGGGCAATGAAGGATAGATTTGCGAGCTCAGGGTACAGCCACATCCACAATCACTGCCCCTGCACTAGGATCAGCACAACTCGGTTCCCAAGTCAACCACTCCTTTCACGAAGAAATGGTCACTGACCCAGCGGCATGTAGGAAATCGCTTCTACTGGTATTGTTGAACATTGAGAACACTGGTGACATTCCTAAAGAGGGGAGGCTTTTCTTGCATTTGCTCAGCAAATTGTTTTCAATGCAGAATTGAAATGTTAATTCTGCATTTATCAGGTGTTGGGCAGTCAGAGCTAATGGAATTTGTAGGTAATGACTAAATCCACTGACCCAATAAAGAACTCAATTTTAGAATGGTTAGAACAAGTTCCGACCAAGGAAAACTAGCTTTAGATCAGTGGGCTTTAGGTATTTGCGGATCGGGGGAGTTTTTCTTGCAAATTCCACCCCCAACCCTCCCATCCTTGGATAAAGTCTCCTGGCTTGTATTCTAGGTGAAATACTTTGGTCTGTTCAATTTGAATGGGTATGTACAAGACGGCCCACCATACCTTAACACATTTTACCTGATTGTGTTACAGTAATTCTTTGACCAGCAATGCTCTGAGCAGAATACAGGATTGTAATTCAGCTGTGATACTAACACCTCTGGCCATATTCATGTTGCCTTATTTCCTACAGAATTTTGATAGCTGGTAATCCTAAAATTAAGCACCCATTCAGAGGTCTTTGCAAAGTGCTATGAGATCATGTTACCGGACGGAACGGAGGAATGTCATAAAGACTTTCAGGAAGAAGCGTTTGCAAGCACCACAAATTTAGCTCAGAGAGGTCCTGTCATTAGGTTAGTCATTCAAACCTGAATTCAACATTTATAAGGTGACAACAAATTAGCAGAACCCATTTAAAAACTTTTTGGTCATATGACCAGTGAGAATTGGCCAAGTAGCCAGTGTTAATGAAAGCTGGACATTGCAATCAGTGCATAAACTGTGTCTAACTTCATCTGTAGCCATTCAAGTAAAAAATATTCATGAAGGATAATTCTTGGGGGAAAAAGCGAATGACTAGCATTTCTCCCTATTTCAACTTTTAAAGAAAAACCTTTCTCTTTGGGATACTCTTTACTATGTAAATTTGTTCATAGCCAAATACTGTAGAACCTGACAGTTCTTACAAAAATTAACACAAGCCCTAGGGTAGGTTAGCATTTTTGCATGCAAACTTGTATTTTTTAAGCTTTCCATTATTCCAAAGAGCCCATAACCCAAAAGTTAAGAACCAACACCTTAGAGGAAATACGTTCAACTATTAGGTCATGGACACTGTACTGAAATCTCAAGGCTAACATACTAGCTCATGTATGGAATTTAATTATAAATCAAGTACTAAACACATTAATATGGAATGGTAAAATTTCAGCAAGTTGAGGAAAAGTTGGATTGAGGCTGCTGACTAAATCAACCCTGGTCTTTCACAGCCATGTTTTCCTAACATCTTGGGAGCTGCTGCCCTAATTAAATCATACTTATACTTGGCATTTTCTAGTATTACTTACACATACTCCTAATGTGTCAAAGTGTAAACATTAAAAACCACAGGAAATTAAATACAGCTTGACAGTACTTTTACTTCTATTTGAAATAAAATGTTCCATATTTTATCTAAAATATACCATTTAACATTTTAGTGGAACTATATCCAAAGTAGCACCATGAATTTAGCTATGCTGAATAATTTTTAAGGTTAAGATTAATCTTTGTTTCCTGGTTCTATGCCTTTAGTGTTCATTCACTTGATGATCAATGTGACAATTCCATCTTTAAAAAAAAAAAAAGCATAGCATTATGAGGAATTTTCTTCATTTAATGAGATTTTCTAATTAGGTAGGTACAAATGTTAAGTCCATGTACGAAGGACTCGTTCAAGAGTAGCTGTTGTCTCCATTCAGTTAGTTTTGTTGTACGTTGGTTGGTAAAAAACAAGTGTTAATATGGCATACACTATCAGTGCAGTCTGGGCCCTTAACAAAGCACTCTGGGCCTTTCTCTTTTAAAATGAAGTTATCTTACAAAATATAGTCCAAGTGCAAAGTACCTCAGAAAGCACCTTTGGTGTGAAAGTAATCAAATCCCCTAGTGACAACACCCACTGACAAATGCCATTATTAAGAACTCTAGGAAGGATTCTTGACTATCACTTATATTCTTTTTTAAATTCACTTGTCATTCAGGCATTGAGGTATCACTCTATACAACTTCCACAATAAATATTTCAAAAATGTGAACAAATGGGGGGAAAGTCAACACCCAGGATAAAGGATTTAATCCAGTATTTATTCCACACTCATGATGGTTCTTTGTAATCAGAATACAAGTCATAAGAACAATCTATCAAATAATTTGCTGATAATCTTAGATAATGCAGCATAGCATTACTCTTAATACTTTTCTCTGTTCTAGATTAAGTTTAAAAACTCAAACAGCAATCTTCATCATCAATAAAAAAAGTTTTGAATTTTAAAAAAAGGACACTATATCAAGCTGCTTCATAATTTATGTATTTTCCATTTATAAAAATGCTTTGGAAGCTTGAGGCTTGAATCTATTTCTCTACTCATCTGTCCCACCCTCTCCCAATTTCATGTTAGTATAGGGTTGCTGCAAGAATGCTAGGATTTAGACATTAATTTTTCATTTAATATAGTACTTTAAAATCCAAGAAATAATTCAAGAAAAAAAGATTACATGTCATGTTTTTTTTCCCAAATAAAAAAGGAAAATCATGTGAATAAATTTTAGGCATACTAACAGTGTCCCTTTGAGGTAGAATGCTAAAAGGACTTTTGATCAAATCACAGCCTAAACCTCTGTATCAGAAACTAACATCTCATAAATTCTCTCTAATGGTAACTGTGGAGAATATTAAGTGTAACATATTAACAAGAGCCTTCCAAGATAATATACAGTGGACAAGAATGTTAATCTTACAACTGCTGCCTTTGTGTACATTGAATGCACATAATTCTCCTATAATAGACATCCAAGATTCATTCTCAAAGTCTTTAGCATTCTATTACGAAAAGCACAGCCATGCTAACTTCAGTACACAAACCATAATCCCACACCTACAAAACAAAAATAGAATTAGTGGCAGTTTATTGCCTTATACAAATTTAACCAACATGGCAACAACTATGCCAAAGGAATTAAAACATTTTCAGGACATATGTACAGACTGTACATCTCAAAAACAATTAAACAATAAAAATCCAAGAACAATCTGTGCATCATGTATCAAACTCAACAACTGGGTGAAAACATCAATGCAATAAATGGGATTACAAAGGCACTTCCCTACACAAAAGAGGAAATGAAAATGCAGCCTACAGGGAGCTTGAAGAGTGCATAACTACGGCACAATCTCAACTTGGGAGGGGGGAAAGCAGATTTAATCAAACATTTATAGGATTCAATGTGATCCACTTTTACAAAAAGGTTTTCACACAGTCTCGTCTTTGTTTTTATGTTGTTTTTCGTGGTTCTCCGGTTCGACGCTTTGGCTCCTTTGACGATCATGTTTGTCAGACTGGTCCTTACTATCACCATGATCTCTTTTGTGGGAACGTTCTTTGCTTCTGCTACGCTTCCTAGTTTTTTCTTTGCTGGGACTATGTTCTCGTTTTCTTGATTTTTCAACACTGTCAGTTCTTCCTTGACTGCCACTTCTACTTCGTTTATTTGATTTTTCTTTACTTTCATTTTTATGTTTACTTGATTTTTCTTTGCTCCTGCTTCTACTTCGCTTCCCTGCATTTCTACTTCTACTCCTACTTCTATGTTTTCTTTCTCTGCTCCTACTTCTACTATGTTTTTTCTCTTTCTTGGAATCTTTTTTGTCATCTCTATGCCGCCTATCATCTTTGTCTTCTTTATGTTTCTTCTCTTCCACCTCACCCCTACTTCTCCGTTCCTTTGACCTTTCTCTTGATCGATCTCTCTCTTTTTCTCGGTCAATACCTCTTTCTTTATCATAGTCACGATCTCGTCTTCTACCTCTCTCATTTTCTTTCTCTCTTTCCCGATCCCTGTCCCTTCTATCCCCTTTCCTATCACGACTTCGACTACGACTTCTATGCCTTTCTCTACTCCTGCTACGCCGGCGTTCTAAACCCCTATCAATACTTCGGGATCTTCGCCTTTCTTTCTCCCTTTCTTTGGCTTCACGCT